ACAACTAACTAACTTTAGTACAGGAAAATTTGCTTAGAAAGACAAGGAGTGCCCTTTGCTAATTAGTTGCTATTCTCCACATTTTTCCTTACTTTTATCCAACTAATTTATTTAAGGAATATCATTACGTACTAAAATAAAGCATTTGATTGGTTCCTTTCTCCGTATTGCCACCTGCTATAATAATTTGTTTTTAGCTCATTAATTAACAGAGTATCCGAGCATGGACTTCATAGGGATTGCAGTGATGCTAAGTGAACAGTGCTGTCAATTCTACTTACAGACTACCTTTCCTTGGGGAAAAGGGAATCTGGATCTAAATAAACTGTGATCTCCAAAATGAGATTGTTATCTCAGACAAATTTCTTTGATTTGTGATTTGAGTCAAATACCCTGAATAGGAAGAGGAACATATATAGAAATGTTTGAGACAAAATACATTCTGTTGTCCTTGGAGGTTTTTCTCTTTCAGTTTCCTTTAAATATCCAATTCAGTAACTATATCCATGTCCAGTCAGCTCTTATTGTTGTCATGCTAATTTTTGGTTTTGTGAGTGAAGATCAGCCTCACTTTTCAGTTCTGCCCATTCCCAGCTCAATGCCAGAAACTTTCTTGTGAAGAAAGGCAAAATTCTTTTCCACACCTCAAAACAGAGCCATGGCTCTGACAATCAAACATTAGACTGGTCAGTTCATCTATCAGGTGAAACGACGCAGTAGAAATATAGTCTGAAAAAGGAATGTCCACAATGCTCCTTTTCCCCTTATCTTTTGGGAGTAACCAATTTTTCTTATAAGGAGAACTATCTATCAGTCTCTTTCAAACTACAAGGCAAAGTCACATTCAAGTGGGATATAGAAACCTCTCAGCCTAGCATCTGTGATTACTTTTTACTATTAATCCAAGTCACTGAGCATTTCATAGATGAGTTTTATTTCTTATGGTCCATACTCCAGCCTTCCTGTATTTTCCATGAATTTTGTGCTGAAGGACAATTTCATAATAATTAAAAATAAAAGTATTGCATTGATGTAGAAAAACTGAGGCCTATGAGCCAACACTGTGTCTTCTGTGTGCCCTTATTTGGACAGTTGTTTAATGCCAGTTGCATAATGTAACATTTGGATTCACAAAATATTCTATTGTTTTTCTTAATATTTATGGTTTATTACATACTTATCATTTAACGCTCCATTTCTCATTGCACTGAGGAACTACCGTGTTTCTCACAAAATAAGGCCGGGCCTTTTTTTTTTTTAGCCCCCCAAAAACGGCTAGGCTGTCTTTTTGGGGGTGACTTAATTCCCTCCCTTGCATCCTCATCTAGAGCGCCCCGTGGGCAGCCTCGCCACCAGCCGCTCCTAACGGGTGATCATGGTGAAGCGCAGAGAGCTCCCTACTCCCACCAAACACCTTTGCTGCAGACCCAAGACCTTTGGCACCCGCCGCTGTTGCTTTCCTTTCTGCCCATTCCGCTGCCACGTTTGGAGCTGCCGCTTCCGTGTTTGGAGTGCCGCTGCCATTTGGAGTGCCACCGCCACGTTTGGAGCTGCCACTTCCGTGTTGAGTGGCGCTGCCATTTGGAGCACCACCGCCACGTTTGGAGCTGCCGCTTCCGCGTTTTGAGCTGCCGCCGTGTTTGGAGTGGCGGCGGCGCTCCAAATGGTGGCGGTGCTCCAAACAGCGGCAGTGCTCCAAATGCGGAAGCGGCAGCTCCAAATGGCGGCGGTGCTCCATACAGCAGCAGTGCTCCAAACACGGAAGCGGCAGCTCCAAATGCGGCTGCAGCTTCAAATGCGGAAGCGGCAGCTCCAAACGGCAGCGGTGCTCCAAATGTAGAAGTGGCAGCTCCAAACGTGGCGGCGGTATGGGCAGAAGGGAAACCAACAGCGGCAAGCACTGAAGGTCTCAGGTCTGCAACAAACGTGCTTGGCAGGAGTAGGGAGCTCTCCGCGCTCTGCCATGATCGCCCATTAGGAGCAGCTGGTGGCGAGGAATTGCTGCCCGTGGGGCGCTCCTAACAGCAAGTCCCCCCGCCCTTCCCCCTTATTTTGCATGTTTTAAAATAGGCCTAAATTTGGGGGGGAGGGGCTTAATTTGATTTTATGCCAATAAAACATGCTGGGCCTTCCTATTGATGGAGGCCGTATTGTTGGAGAAACACGGTAACAGAGTAGCCATGGATGGTTTTCTGATTTGCACCTACTGGTCCATGATTTTTATTGATCCAAAGTAGAATCTGACTCAAAGAGCATAAGACTATGGGTTTATTTGACTGTACATTATTTATATACATCTCACCGACAGCTGCTGACCCCTAAATGACTTGGGGATCTTAAGAAGTCCCTTTTTTATGCATACTGCTGTACTCTGAATAGAATCTGAGTTTGGTGACATTCATGTGGGACATGACCAATGTCTTCCTATATTGTTTTCATTGCTCATTGAAGACAAAGGATTGTGGAGTGATGGTGGCTAGTAAAAATTTATTATTATGCTATTATTACTGGTGATAATTTCTATTGATTGAACACCCTAATTAGTTTATTGTAGTTATTTGTTTTTATTATTTTATGATGAATTACTGAATTGCTTTAACATGTATTAATATTGATCTCATTTACATAATGAAGTATTTTTAAAAACAAATAAAATAAACAGATAAAGAAAGTAGTACTGTTTCTTAAGGAAGTTTTATTACGAATACCTATTTCTGAAACACACGGATAATATCAACAAGAGGAAGGAGAGGAGAGGAGCTGGAAGGCACCTTGTAAGTCTTCTAGTCCAGCCCCCTGGTCAAGCAAGAGAACTTATACCATTTCAGATAAATGACTGTCTAGTCTCTTCTTAAAAACCTCCAGTGATGGAGCGCCCACGATTTCTGAAGGCAAGCTGTTCCATTGGTTAATTGACCCCACTCTTAGGAAGTTTCTCCTTAATTCCAGGTTGCTTCTCTCTTACTAATCATTTTCCAACTATTGTTTCTTGTCCTGCCCTCTGATGCTTTGGAGAATAATTTGACCCTCTCTTCTTTGTGGCAGCCCCTCAAATACTGGAATACTATCATGTTGGCTAGTGTTTTCTCTATACTAGCCAAACGCAATTCCCTCAACCGTTCCTCATATGTTTTAGTCTCCAAGCCTTTAATCATCTTAGTTGCTCTTCTCTGCACTTTTTCCAAAGTCTCAACATCTTTTTTGTAATGTGGTAACCAAAATTGGTTGCAGTGTTCCAGGTGTTATATCAGATACATATATCAGATATTATCTATCACTTTAAAGAGTTATGGTGGTGCAGTGGTTGGAATGCAGTACTGCAGGCTACTTCTGCTGACTGCCTGCTACCTGCAGTTTGGCAGTTTAGGTTGATTCAGCATTCCATCCTTCCGAGGTCGCAAAATGAGGGCCCAGATTGTTGGGGGCAATATGCTGACTCTGTAAACCGCATAGAGAGGACTGTAAAGCACTGTGAAATGGTATATAAATCTAAATGCTGTTGCTATTAAAGTAACAGGGCTTATTCCTAGTAAAGAGTTAATTTTTTTCTGTTTCAATGATTGCTGATGTCACTCTTTGTTGTAACTTTGAATGTTAATTCTTATCTTTTACCCATGTATTATTTATTTTTGTATGGGGCTTTGGGGGGCTTGAGTCAGTATTGACTCCTGAAATTTTCATGCTAAGATTTTTTTTTCAGAAGTACCTTGCCACTGCCTCCTTCCTAGGGTTGACAGAGTGACTGGTCAAATGTCGCCCAGCAGAGTTTTTGCCCAAGACACGAGACTAAAATTCATCATTTCCTGAATTCTAGCCCAATCCTTTTCACTGTTTTATCAAACTAGCTCGCGGGTTATAAAACATATTAAAGTAATTTAAACCCCAGAGTGTTTTAGTTTTTAAGTAAGTTTTAAAAAATTGTAGCAAATCGATTCCAACACTAGGAATGGTTAGTAGATCAAGAAGAAGGAGTAAGCAAAGAATTCGGTGGCTTGATATCTTCAAAGCTGATGGAAAGATAGCATCCAACAATGAAAGAAGCAGTGCTTAACAGGATAGCATGAAAAGCGCTTACCTATAAAGTTGCCAAAACTCAGATATGACTGAATTGTTAAAACTATTACTACACCTGCTAAAGAGTAAACTGTAACACAGTTGCAAGGGATTTTGGAGGTCTTCTAGTCCAACCCCTTACTCAATCAGAAGACCCTATACCATTCCAGACAAACGGCTGTCCCATCTCTTCCTAAAACCTCCAGTGATTCAGCATCCACAACTTCTAGAGGAAAGACATTCCACTGATTAATTGTTCTCGCTGTCAGGAAATTTCTCCTTAGTTCTAGGTTGAATTTTCCATCTCATTATTTTATGGCTTTTAAAGTCTCCAGACCTGGATAAGGGAATGCTAGATTCAGGTCCCTGCTTGATCATAGGGCTGATCAAGGACTTTAGCCTAAAATATTTCTCAGCCCAATCAGAAAGCTTGAGGAAATACTAAGGAAACAGACACATAGGCCCATCTGTCCACATACGCAATGCAGAATATTTGGGATAGAAACACAACAAATAAATATATATATATATATTTATAATTTTACATTTTTACAATCTAAGAGCATGATTTATAAAATGATTGATGCGACACAGGAAACTTACTTACTGAATCTGCAATTGTTGCTAGAAAATAGTTATTGCAATTTCTTTTCACTTCTGCTAAATTGCATGGAATATATCAATGTAGTGATATAGCTGAATCGTAAATTGACTCTACTATCATTTACACTTTTTAACACTTTTAGTTTAGGTGTGTTATGTAGTACACAAAGAGTTGGGGTACATCTGTTTATATGTGATTAAAAATAATTCTAATAATATTTTTTATCTGAAGTATTTAAACATTCCAATCTGTCAAATTGTGTATGTAAATTTAAAGGTCAGTTTGAGGATAGTCCTAAATGATGAAGATTTATACTGAATGATAATATGTATTTATTTCCTAGGGAAGAGAAAGAGCAGTGGATCCGGGCCAAATATGAGCAAAAACACTTTCTTGCTCCATTGCAATGTTTAGACCTTTCTTTAGGTCAGCACCTACTACGAGCAACTGCAGAGGAAGATTTGCGGACTGTCATCCTGCTTCTTGCACATGGAACACGTGAAGAAGTGAATGAAACCTGTGGAGAAGGAGATGGGCGATCAGCTTTACATTTGGCTTGCAGGAAAGGAAATGTCGTGTTGGTGCAGCTCTTAATTTGGGTAAATAAATGCCACATGGTTTTGAAACAAGCTTGATAAAAATGTTCAGATTGCCACTGTCAGTGAATCAGATAGCCAGATGCTCTTTCATTTGCTTCCAACGGGGAAAAAAAAAATTGGTATGAGATATTTTTATTAAAGACACAGTCCTGCTTTGACCGATACCCCTCAAATCTATTTTGAATTCTCCTATGACTTATTTAGGTGTGGATCTTAAGATATGATCCTCGTGTCATTTTGATATGAAGTCACTCAGACCAAAGATACAGGAGCATCAATGCTGTTGCGGGGTTCTTTAGCAAAGGATATGGCAAAAGCAGCTCAGATTTAAAATCCCCAGATAAGAAATTGGTAAAGTGTGCCTTAATTTAATGAAAAGTCTTCTTCTTATAGACTCCTCTGCCTGTTGCTATTCAGAAGTGCAGGGCTTGAAATGTTGTCTATTCTTTCCACAGTACGGTGTTGATGTTATGGCATGCGATGCTCATGGAAACAGCGCTTTAGCCTATGCGAGACAAGCAACAAGCCAAGAATGCATTGATATCCTCCTGCAATATGGTTGTCCAGATGAGCACTTTGTCCTTATGGCTACTCCCAATTTATCCCGGAAGAATACTAACAAGAACAACAGCAGTGCAAGGATGCCTTCCATCATCTGAGTAATTTAATTCGTCTTCATCTTCTTCTACAACCTTGTATTAGCTTGAAAGTGGAAATCTATGTCTCTAAAAAAATTTGCTTCCCTGCTTCCTCTTTTCATTTCCACCAGGATGTTGTTAAGTAGCTCTGGAAGTGTTAATACACAAGGAAAAAAAGAATTACGGAAACCATTTATAGTAATACAATGATTTTGAATGAAAACAATATACAAAGGAGAAGATGAAGAGGGATCATGGATATGCTAATGAAATAGCTCATGATGGGGGGACCATTTTACTGGATGTCTCTAGGTGGGTTTTTTAGGAGTATTGCATGAGAGTTACCGGAGAGACAATACAGGGAAAAAGAGTGGGGGGAAATGTAACTTTCTTTAACTGACAGTTAAACGCATTCATACATTTTATCTCTACCAAACTGAACATTTGGGTTTCATTCTCTTTTCCAAAGAGCTTGACGGCATAAATCAGAGGCAAGCACAGAGTTTGTCAGGTCTGAAGCTCCTATGATGGTATGTGTCAAATCAGTTGTAGCTAATCTGTCCAGAGAGAATACTGGCTTCATTACACTTATATAGTTGAGTTCTTCCAGCATTACTGCTGTTTAATAGAACATGATTAGTCATCATGGAGAAAAAGGCATATTAGCCGAGGAGGTAGTTACATGGCACGCTTCAGTGATTGCTTGGATGTGATTGCAATATTCTTAGAAGCATCATATTATCTCAGACATGTTCTTTCAAGCACTTGGAGCCTTCCTTTCTAAATTCACTGTCATAATTTAGTATCTGTTTAATTTTTCAGTCCAAAGAGAGAAATCCAGTTGCTGAGCATTATTTGACTACAGCCTCATTGCTGGAAAAACAAAATAGAAAAAAATATATAAATAGCCATGAAATGCAAAGAGGAATAATGAATATCGCTAGCAAAAATATATTTCATGTACATTCAATGAGAATAACTATATAAAAAGCCTTCTTTTTAATATTGTGTCATTTTCACCAAGATAAATTAGCTGGAATCTTTCATGTGCATTTCCTAAATTAAGCAGATTTTGCATTGTATTTCTTGGTTAAAAGTATAAAAAAAAAGAATTCTAAATGTTCATAAATATGCATTTATTTTTTTAAGTACATACACTTTTGTTAATTTATAAATTGCAATTAATGTAAAATAATTTGCAGAGAGTAATAATCTAAAGATCACAGATCATAATGATAAATCATGGAAACAATGCCAGGTTTTTTTTTATTCCTTTGATGGAGACCACATCTGATTATCGTATTGTCACGTTTGTTTATAGAAAAATTATCATGAAATATGATTTGGAAGGGCAGGATTTGCTTTCCAGAAACACAAATATCCACTGCTTATTGTTGTGGCACTGTATACTCTCAATGGAGGAAGGCTGAAAACTATAAGCAAAGAATGCAGAAAATGAGGCATGTCCTAGTTACCTTGATATTACTCTTTTAAAGGGAATATGACTTCTTGCATTCCAAAGCAATTTGGTTGAATAGGCTGACTTGGAAAGAATCTAACATTTAATTATAGATTATAATCATTTTATTATTTTAAGTAGCACTGTACTATTTCTTGTTTTTCCTTTCTTTGTTTGAGAAAAGAAAAACATAATAGACAATGAAGATTTGTTAATACTAGATAGAAAAAGTCATAGGCAATTTTTAAGACCAACTGAATAGTTACAATATGTATATGTATATGTATTTCTTTGAAGGAAAAATATTTGGAGAAAATATGACAATGGATTACAAATGTATTGATAAGATAAAAAAAGATTTTGAACTGTTTCTTGAAAAATTAAGAAACAGTTGAATTTATTTATTGGCATGGCTTTCTGCTTTCATATATTGTGTTTCTAAGATTTTAAAGAGCTAGAAATTATTTATGATAGCAATCTCACAATATGAATATAAGTTTATCTTTTGGAACATATTCAAACATATCAGTGTCTGCAGCAAGCCAAGTTATGTCAAAATGGTTACAATGTAAACTGTACTCCTATGTACTACATGGGATGTCATGAATGCAATACAAAAGAGGTGGGGTTTGCATTGCAATCTTCAGTCACATATTTTATAAGTTGTCCTCCCTTGAGCCTGCTGTCCATGAAACAGACACTAGTTTAAAATATCTTTCTTCACAGTTCATATTTAATAGTGCTACCTATTGTCTTCCATTCACAATGTACGCTAGCTGACATGTTCTTGAATACCTCCACCAATTGCAGGGGAAGGACAGGAGAATATCTGCTGTCTTTCAGAGAGGCACTGGACTTCTTTTAAGTTATAATAAAACAGGCCTGTCAAATTGGCAGCCTTACTGGCTGGATATGGCCCACACAGGCCATGCCCACCCTGGCTCTGCAAAGGCAAAAAACATTGCGATACATCATGATACGGACCATGAAGTGATCAAGTTTGACACCCCTGCACTTGGAAAGAATCTAGCATTTAATTATAGATTATAGTCATTTTAATATTTTAAGTAGCACTGTACTATTTTTTGTTTTTCCTTTCTTTCTTTGTATGAGAAAAGAGGTTTAATTTACTATTAAATAATGGGGGGGGGAGTTTAGTGGAGTATGAAGAATAAGTAATAAATGTTTACCGGTAATATCTGGTAGAAGAGGTAGGAAAATAGTCATAGTAAAGAACTGTGGAAAGAACGAAGAGAAAGGGGGAATGCATCTTGAGCTTGTGTCAAACGCCCACCATGGCCATGCCCAACCCTGGCAACCCACCACCTCGGCCCTCCAAGGTCAAATACAGCCCTGATGTGGCCCTCAGTGAAATTGAGTTTGACACCCCTGCTTTAGGACATTCTTCTTGTTATCATGCTATAGTATATCTATACTGGGAGATCTTTAGATAGAAGTGATTCTTCATAATAAATCTACCTTGAGTTGATCCTTGATGACCACATTAAGAAATCTATGTTGTTTTCTTGGCAACAGTATAGAAGAGGTTACTCATTGTCTTTTCCAATATTTTAATTTTCCAATCTAGTACCATCTTTACAGACCTGGGGCTTTCTGCTGGTCTTTCATCCAGGAACTAATGAAGTCCAGTTAGATGTCACCATATTTTATGGTTATAACAAATTATACAAAATATACACCTCTCCCTCCCTCCCTCCCTCTCTCTCTCCACACTCTTAAGTGAAAGGGAGGCATGTAAAAGTTTATGTATGTAGTACATAAACTAGTGTGTGAATGTGTTTGTGTGTGTATACAGACACACACACACATACATTTTAGTGTCTTCTTTTCAGATTAAGAGTGTGTCTTAAGAGTATTAATATGTTAAATAATTGCCAGGTATACATTCAGTTTTACCAGTTTTACCAAGTCTCTTTACATGTTTGCACAACATTTATATGTATCTGTGGTTTGTTCAAAGTGGTTTAAAATTGTAAGTTTTTCAATAAGCCTAGACAGTAGCAGGTAAACTCAGGCAAGTGCGAATCCTACTTCTTGATTTTTGTCTACTATTTGCACTGTGTTGTGAATGTGTTGCTATATTTGTCACATTTTGAATGAAACATTCTCTTATATATTATACCTGATTCCTTCCTTATTTGTATATATGTGGCTATACATATTTCAAGTACACTATCCCCAGCTTTTAAGGAAATAATTACCAAATATCCCTGATTTAGTTTATAGTTTGTAAACTTGTCAGATCTCCAAAAAGAATTTTATTTCAGTTAGAAAAAAAAATCATTATCAAACAATACATCTAGGTATAGATTGAGATGTGTATTGAATTCTGATAGTAATTTAAAAGAACAAATTTCTATAACAATTGGCAATTTTTTAATCACTTCACAGTTTCTTAACTTGGCCATCTTTTCCCCACTTCATCAACAACAGTTTCTTCCTTATTACAGCTGTCCACTAAGATGGCTGTGCTCACTGCATATACATGTAACAAAGTAGCACATTTTACCAGTAATTGAAAAAAAATTCTTTCTGCAAAAATAGATATATTATGGGTATCATTAATATTTTCCACTTAAGTTACACTTCTCCAATATACCATTTAATTATTAAAAGTATTTAACTATTAACTATTAAAGAGCAATTTTCATTTATCATATCAATTCCTATGGGAAAAGTTTTTCCAGAAAAAAAAAATCCAGACAACACCTGTGCTACAATCAGAAAGCAAGAACTTATCTTCAGAGCAGGTAATTCACCAAAATAAGGCAAAATAAGCAATCCATGTAGCAAACCATGGATAAAGTGCATTATATGGTGACAGTAACTGGAAGCATCTGTTTTTTTTATGGCCAGGGAGGCAGCACATAATCTAATCCTAAATGTCTATGGAGATTCTCAGTCATCCAGGTCATGGTTGTTCCAAAGGTGCTTTTTCAAGAGGCAACTGGACTTTCCCCTTTTTTCTTTGAAGATGTTTCATTTCTCATTCAAGAAGCTTCATCAGCTCTGCCTGGATGGTGGGAAATGGAAGAATTTATACTCCTTGGAGACAGCTGGTGATTTGCGTTCTTTTAACAAGTCATTGAGGCCATCTGGAGGTTTATCTGTGTCATCAGGGTCACCTGATGCAAATGGATGTGGAGCCTTATTGGAACTGTTGAAAGGACTGTGTTGTTGACAGGAGATAGATGGTGTTGTATCCCCCCCCCTCTGTTGAGAGAGGACTGTTCAATTTTGACTTCTTTGACCTCTCTTGATCTGCCATTTGCCAGAAATTGTGTAGGGCCTCCCGTTTGGCCAGGGGGTTGGACTAGATGGCCTACAAGATCCCTTCCAACTCTCCAACTCTCTGTTTATCTTTCAAAACAGAGGTCCTCTTTGTCCAAAATGTAAATTTTGCTATCTTCAAAAGGCTTTGTTTTTTAAATGCAGATGGAATGCTGAATCTTGTCCTGATGGGTGTGTTCTCGTATGTTGTATCATTCATTTATGAAGTAGTTGTTTTGTTTCCCCAATGTACAGATCTGCACATGGCTCACTGCATTGGACTGCATATACCACATTACTCAGTCAAGAGGGGTCAAAGAGGCCATCTATGTCAAAATTGAACAGCCCTCTCTCAACAGAGGGGGAAGGTTACAACATCATCTGTCTCCAGTCGACAAGACATTCCTTTCTACACTTCCAAGAAGTGTAGAACACCCATTTGCACTACTCAGGTGACTCTGATGACACAGATAAACCTCCAAGTGGCCTTTTTAATGACTTTCTAAAAGGATGCAAATGACCAGCTGTCTCAAAGGAGTATAATCCTTCCATTCCCCAACCATCCAATCAGAATTAAAGATGCTTCTTCGATGAGAGAAAGATCTTCAAAGAAAAATCAGAAAGTCCAGTTGCCTATTGAAAAAGCACCTTTGGGGTATTCTAATCCTGATATTAGGAGAAAAACAGATATAAGCATTTTAATTATTTTCCTGTCTATGGACAGATAGATTGGGAATGGTGGTGGTATTTGACTCCCTGTTGCTGTCAATTACAGTGGCTTGGAGTGCACAACACTTCTTGATCTTATATGGATAAATGGATAGGGTTGATCAGGGCTGATTGTAGTGTTCACTGAGCTATGCAAATACAATGATAGATAGACCTTGCCTCAACCTGCCAATTGCCAAAAGCAGGTGGGAGGATTGAGTTTTTGCCAGTTCCTTTCATATTTCTGGTGCTGTCCAAACATTCACATTGCCTTTCAACCCCCAAATGGCTCGTTTAAATAATACAAAGAAAAGTATCTTCTTTTTATTGTGACTGACAAGTTCGGTTATTGCTATTCCCCTCCCGTCAATTTTCCAGATTGAAGAAAATAGAGTGGAAGTAAACTGAATTTTTAATTTAGAACTCTGCACTTTTCAGAAAATTGCTAGAAAATCAAAGGTTTCTTAGATTATATGATTAGGAATCAGAAACATGTTCTTTCTCAGTAAATAAAATTCTGACTTAAGTATGACTTTGTTTGTAGCATCCCATATATCTTTAATCACATTCAAATATTTTGTGAACATCATGCTTGATACTTTACATTTTTTTCCCCCAGAAATTGATGTTCAGCAACATAAGGTAGCATTGGCTTTGAGGCCTACCTCAATGTCCATTGTTATGAAAAGTTTTTCCGTGTATGTCTAAATGATAATACAAATGTCTACATGTTAATACAAATATTAATACAAGAAAAGCCAAGCACAGGTTTAACTGGTGGGATTAAAAACAACACTATTTATCTTAGAGAATTGTTAGAGAATGCACATTTAAAAGAGCAAAAATTGCTTCTTTAATATTTTGGAAGAACATTACTATGATTCTATTTGACAAGTGCTATCTTCAAATATCTTCTTATGTTTTCTGTCAGTAAAGAAAGTTATCTAATCTTTTACTTCAATGATCTATAATTTCTACTATCCTGATTTATGCATCCATCATATTTGTGAACAAGATTTTTTTTCTTATTTATTATTTTAAAAAGGTGTATTTTGAGAAAAGATAAAATCACTAAATGGACAAAGAATTACTAAACTTATATAATTAATGCTCAATGTGACATTAATAAAAATAAGTCATGCCAGGCAAAATACATTGAGTTGTTTTTATGATATAAAAATTAACTCGATGCCAAAATCTCCACTACATTATTGTTTAACAATGTTAAAAGAAAAAAAGAACAAAATATAACTGAAAAATAAAATAAATATTTTATATTTGAGTTTCACTTTTTTGTACTGCACTCAATCTGTAGTAGCTACTGGCTTAAATTTTAGAAATGAGACTCTGAGCTTGCTGCATATTATGTAATATATATGGAAGCCATTCTTGCTTAAATTTGGTCAAACTTTGGGTATACTTTTATATGGTTAATTTTGCCACTCCTGCATACTCTCCAAATTTAAGTTCCTAGTCAGATATCATTGGTACTATGACTTTGTTCCAGTGTTGGCCAAAGTTTGTCCTTGCATCTATAAGTATGGATAATTTAAAATTTATGGTATGTACTGGGACTCTTTCTTTAAAGTATTGCATTATTTGTTTTGTCTCTATATCATATCTTAAGTAGAAGTTTATATATAGATGACTCATGACATCTTGATTCTGTATAAACATTTCAAATTCTGCAATTTTTCTTAATATCCCTTGTTTTGGGATCAGATTTTATTCTTTCTATCTTTGTACTTTTGTTGGCGTATCTTTATAGATTCATCAACCATGGTCTATTTTGGTCTTCACATTCTTACTGTCTTTAATCTATTCATAAGATCTGGATGGGCTATATTTGCATGTGAAATTACATTTTTCTTACTATAGTAATCTCCAACATGAAAACCATTTAGAAGATAAGCTGATGGTGAATTTTTTGGACCTAACTATATTCTTTGTTGAATTCCATTTTTTTTTATCAAACTTTGTCTTTTTAGGTTTTGTCTTTTGTGTCTTATACTATAATTATCAATGGAGCACATTAGCTAGGCCAGCTCTTTCCAGTGTTAACATTCTGCTGTCAAACAGCTTTCTCAGAAGTGCAGTTTGAAGTTTGGAAGAGGAAGGACATGAATGTCTTCTTAGACTTTAAAATTTTAACTTTGACTCTAGTGTTTATCCCCATGCCATATAAATATGCTAACAATTTCTTGACATTCTTTAAAAAAAAATTTTAAAAATTAGCATTGGTATCATGTGAAACAAATATGGAAATGGATCTTGGGTAAAACATTCATTTTGGTAAATATAATTGTTTCTAACTCAGAAACCCTTTAGTTGTTCCAGCTTTCAGATCTGTTCTAATTTTTTGCCATAATTTGCCATAATTGTTTTGGTATATTTCTTAATTATTACATGTCAAATGCAAACAGGATAATTCACTATGGGTTATCTGGCAGCCAGATTCTTCCTGCAAGAAATTTCCTTGGATTAAATGTCTTGTGATTACTTATGTTTTTGATCATTGATTTTATATCTGGAGAATTCTCCAAAGCTGTGAATTGTTTTTATCAAGTGTCTTTTTGCACTTTGTGTTTCTGTTAGAGTTTATATTACAACATCTGTATAACATTTACACTTATATTACTCTGTACGGATTTTGAGACCAGGCATTTGTTTGTCATCTCAAAGCTTTTTGTGAATATTTCTAAAGCAATTATTAATAAGGGGGGAAATGGGAACCTTACCAGCTTATTTGGAAAGCTGAAAAGCATGTTCCATCAGCTCTGATTTTTGCAGTTGCCAATGATATATATATTTAATTTTGAAATCTTTTCTGAGATTTAGTTTATTGTATACTTCTAAAAGAAATGATAAATGGATGATGTCAAAAACTTTTTCTATTTCCAGAAAAATTACTACTGGTTTTTCTTTGATATGGTCTACTGTTAATTATTAACCTACTACTATTTTTATTGTTACTTTTCAGAATATAACCTGTTTAGTTCAACTAGTATTATTGGTCTATATGACTGTAGTTTTTCTGGACCATTCACTTCTTTGTAAATCAAAATTACATGTGCCTCTTCCTATGTTGGTGGTATCAATTTGTCTCTTTCATTCATCATGTTCGTCAGTGAATCTTTCTCAAGTTTTTATATTACTTTTTGATACATTCAGTAGTGTGAACAAATACTTTTTAAAATAAAATCCTGCATATCAATTCAAGGCTCAAAAATATGAGGATCATTGTTATTTAATGTTCCTCTACTATTTTACAAAATTCTAGAAGACTTGCTGAAGAGCTTCCATGTTATAGAACAACATTCTGAGCTTTCAAATATGTGGATGTATTTTGCTATCAGGTCACCTGTGGTGTTATTGTCCAGGCAATCATAGACTTCTCAGCTTAATCAGGAAAGGACCAAGAGGCAACATGTCAGTTTTTGTAATTGTTCAAATTCCAGCTTATTCTCAATTTCCTTAGAATTGCAAATCATCCATGTTTTGTTCATTAATAACACTAAATATTTAGTGAAAACCTTCTTTCTCTTTTATCATATTTTAGCAAATTTTACTTTATGATCAAATAGATGCCAGTAGTTTTAAGCCACAATGTTGTTGTTTCAGTGGAAAATCATTTATTTTTATAACAATATGTTTCTGAAAGCTACACTCAGTACCCAGTGACCACTTATTAATATCAGGGATACAGTGAGGTTAATTAAATAAATCATATACACACCTGCACTATAATCACACTTTATTGCACTTC